GTTATTGTAGTACATAGTTGTCAGAACTACACGCCTAAGGACAATTGTGTTTAATGTCACGATTGGCGAATAAAAAGGATGTGCCATTCATTATGAATGTTTCACATGGCAAGCAAGGAAAACACCACACAAGTGTCCTAGGTATCGCTTGACTCATTATGGCGACTGTGGCATTTCGTCATCATTCCTGTATGTTGACAACACACAGGCTTTCATGCGGAGTCGTATCCTCTGAGACGCCATCTCTCTCTCTCTCTCTCTCTCTCTCTTTTTGACTGCGCTCCATGTGTGTGTGTGTGTGTGGGGGGGGGGGGGGGGGTGTGTGTGTGTGTGTGTGCGTGTGTGTGTGTTTGTGTGTGTGTGTGTGTGTGTGTGTGTGTGAGAGAGAGAGAGAGAGAGAGAGAGAGAGAGAGAGAGAGAGAGAGAGAACGATAAAAACTTACCAGCTCATCTGCAGATGATATCTCACAAGCTACTCGTCCTTTCAATTGCACAATGTCATCTGAGTTCGTATACCTGCGCACCCAAAACAGATGTCATGCCATCATGGTGGAAATCCAGACAGTTACTCTCTTCTTTTTTTCTCTTCTCTTCCATTCTTTTTTTTTCTGGACCATTTCTCAGTTTATGCGTGTCATCCTTGGGCAGGGACCATGCTGATCTTCTCCATATCATTCCAATTAGTATAGCCCAAGAATTCACAATTCCTAGATGTCACAGTGAAAATCCAACAACAAAAAATGCTAATCCATGCAGGCGTGCTAAACATTCTCTGGCTGCGAGGAATTGAAACATCAAACAACGCGAACCCGGCCAGAGTCGCCAGACACTTCACAGCCTCCAACCCATCTATGTTCGGCCTAGGCTCGCCTTTGGTGTTCCTTCTTTTTTTTTTTTTTTTTTTTTTTGCCTTTGGTGTTCCTTCTAATATCTATGAATTTTCAATTTTACCTATATACTACAAATTCTACTTTCGTCCTTACTCCACCGAACTGGTTTTGAAAGTATTCCACCGGCTGAGCTGGCGACTTTCACCGCCTTGCGCCTGATTCACCGCCTACGTGCCCTTTTGATTCTTTAACCATAACAGTCCATACAAAAATGGAAATGGAAGCGGAACCATCCTGTCAATGCCTGTGATCTTAATGTTTCCTGTGTTTTTTTTTTCCCCTTAAAGCCCTAGTACGTCCGCCAGTGTTGGGAAATTAGGGAAAAGTGGACGTTTTCCCATTTTCCCCGAAGAGTTCGGAGGTACCACAGGCTCGGCATCAGTTGCATTTCCCAGTACCGAAAAAAAGAAAAAAGAGAAGAAAAGAAAGAAAGGAAGGACGGCGGGGAATGCCTTGAAGGAGATGTGCTCACATCAGAACTCAAAGGAACACATCTACCCAGAAACATAGCCAGTTTCGTTTTTTGTATGTGTTTTGCTTTCTTTTTTTGGTGATCCGCGTTTAGTGGCCCTGCCAATGAGAGGCAAGGTGCATTCCACGGGCAGCTGACACTTTGCAACGGGGGGCGCATTCTCACTCGTTGTTACATCTTCGACGCCACACGGGTCCTACCGGACCCGACTTAGGGTTAGAGGGACACAGTAGGGCCTAAAGGCCCGGCCTTGGGGGTACTACAGGCCGTAAAGGCCTCACCTTGGACCAGACCCGACGGGCAGGCCCAAACGACATTACCGTTTGGGCCTGGCGGCGCTCTTGAAGCTGCCGCCCGCCGGTTGGGGCTGAACCGTTCATCTTGACGGTTCAGGGCACGGCCAGGCCTCGCAGCATTGAGGCCGGCCTCTGCCCCACCGGTACCGGTCCGGCCTCATTCAGGCCATCGACCCACCGGCACTCTAACGGTGCGGTATGGTACGGCGCGAACAGCGCTGGCGCTATACTTAGCGCAGGAGCACGAGGAGCGGCAGCGGCAGCGGTAGCGCAGCAGCGGCAGCGAGCAGAGCAGCAGCAGCGGCGACTGAGCACGATCGGCGGCCATAGCCGCCTGAGGTATCGGGAGTCGGAGGTTCTCTCCTCCCTCCCATCGCCAGTCCCCTCTCTCTCTCTCTCCTCCTCGGCTCCCTCCTTCTTCTTCTTCTTCTTCTCTTCAGACTTCTTCTTCTTCTTCTTCTTCTTCTTCTTCTTCTTCTTCTTCTTCTTCTTCTTCTTCTTCAGACTGGAGACTTATACTAGTTGGACAGAGATCAGAGTTGGACTTCGGTGGTAAGAGGCTGTGGTACTTACCGGTTTCGAGACTTGGAGATTGTTGGGGATGATACTCGGCTGCATCACAGATTTGACACCGGTTACATTAGGACTCTGTATCTCCGACATTGGTGACTTATTGTCCTCGACATTTTGACCTTGTTCGATGACATTTTGGATTACCATATCGGTGACCTACTGGTTTCTATCTCGGTGACATTTGGTGCTACCTACATCTCCCACCTCCTTCGTCTCTCCTCCCACCTTCATCTGTGCATGTGTGTACAGGCCTGAGCATCGTCCATGTATGGCTCAGACCCCACCATCTCACCATTGTATGTGTGTGGAGTGATATCTATGTGAGTCAGTCTATGTGAGTCAGTCTATGTGAGTCAGTCCGTTTATCAGACTTCCGCTGCATATATGCTCATCCTACATTTGTTGATCTTTGGTTCTGCCCATACTCATTGAAGTATGTAACACTCGTACTCCAGATTCTGTATCCAGCTGCTTTCACGTCCAAAGTGTTGTTGCTTTTTTGTTTTCTTTTTCTTTCTTTTTTTTCTGCTGTCGTGATTACAGCAGGGCTGCAATGGCCATTGGGAGGGCATACTGTCACAGGTACTCCAGATTCTGTATCTAGCTGCTTTCACGTCCAAAGAGTTGTTGTTGATTTTTTGCTTTTTTTCTTTTGTTTGTTCCTGCTGCCGTGATTTCAGCAGAGCTGTAACGCCCGTTGAAGGTGCATACTCTCACATGTACCCCAGAATCTGCATCCGGCTGCTTTCACGTCCCTAGCGTAGTTGATTTTTTTTATTCTTTTTTTGTTGTTCTTTTTTTTTTCGATTTCCGAAGAGAAGCATAAAAGAAAACACAATGGGACCCCGGCTTGGCAACTTTCCGTGCGCAGTGAAATTCAGGGTTGGCAAAAACAGGCTGGGAGGTACTAGTGGTTTAAAAAAAAAAAAATGCGCGAGGCTGCTTTGGGGGTGGGTGGGTACGAGCATCCCTATCTAGCAGGATCTAGCAGCTGGTTGCTACAGTCTATCGGTGGGGAGCATCACCTGGTGGAGACCGGGTCCAGCATCCCGTAAACATACACATGACATTGCTACCCCTGTCTCTTATACACATCTAGATGTGTATAAGAGACAGGCTTTGGGGGTGGGTGGGTACGAGCATCCCTATCTAGCAGGATCTAGCAGCTGGTTGCTACAGTCTATCGGTGGGGAGCATCACCTGGTGGAGACCGGGTCCAGCATCCCGTAAACATACACATGACATTGCTACCCAGGCCATTACCCAGATTCAGCTCACATTCTCCTGTGATCTGAATCTGATGAGCTTACATGTCAGAATTGGAGTATCAGAAGAATGTCCTCGACTTGACTCTCAAGAAAGTAAAAAATAATCTTTAAAGCTATGGGTGCACGTGTGTGCCGATAGGATCTAAACGAGTTCCAGATGTGACAACCATCAGGACATCCGGATCAATATCAGGATGGACCATAAACTGTAACCTCTTCGCGAACGAGTTTCACATATTATATTCTTTGAAACATATGGTTGCATACCTGCCTACCGCCGACCCCGACCGGCGACCGGTTTGCAGAGGACTGGTATTGCATTGCTGAGTACAGCCCAAATCCGCTGCGAAACGTTTGGGGATTGGGGGGGGTATGGGGGGTTGGGGGGTATAGGGGAATATAGGGGTGGTATAGGGGGTATTGGGGAGGGGTATGAGGGTGTTGGGGGGCGGTTTGGGGGTGTTGGGTGGGGTGTATGGGGATATTTGGGGGAGGTTGGGCGGCAGCCGACAAGTCAAGGGTCGCCGACGGTCGGGGTGTGCAACACTGCAAACATTGATAAAAGTTTGGAAAACTTTAGAAAGAAAAAATGCAGTCCTCAGCAATGCAATATGAACAAGTAGGTGAAATTAGAATGAAAAACAGAACATAAAGCTGAAACAAAATCAGAACTGAAACCAAAAAGACTACCTAAGAAAATAGACGAGTCAGTGTCTGGCTTATTATGGATTAGCCCCAATACTGTTATAATGTTCTGCTGGACATACATACCCTAGCCGGCGAAGTACCCGCTTCCTGGCCTTGAGCTCATCGTTCAGAATCAACGTCTGCACAGATCGGAGCTCACGTTTCGCCAGTTTGATCCTCTTTTCCAAATCCTCTTTTTCCATAACTTGCCGAAGCCTCTTCCTTAGTGTAGGCGAAGAAGAAAGACGGTGCCCAGCCAACATTCCTTCAACCATTTCCAATCTCCGAACTGCTTTTCTGTACACTTTTGCATCAACCTGCAGCAAAAGAGACATCATTTTTGCCTCTCATCAAACTCAAATTTACTGATGCATCAATAAGCTTTTTCATTTTGGCCTCTAAGTTACAAGAGTGCGGCTCCGCCCGCGTTACAAAGGGATATTAATGAAATTGACATTCGTGTGTATGAATACTCAAATAGGATGTGAACACTGGAACCGAAAAATGGGGGATTGGCAGGTTAAAAAAACAACAACTATGATCCACTGTTTGAAAACAAACAGAGATGAGAAACAGTTGTGTTTTAGCCTTTACGTCACGAAGTAGCCTAGCCGTCCAAGTTCCACAAACGTGGACAATGCCTCAAGCACACATTGCAGTACGCCACTCGAAGTTCACGTAGCACCAAGCTCACAAACCACGTAGCACGAAGGTCATGAATAACCAAGCTCACAAAGCACGTAGCGCCAAGCTCACGAAGCACTTAGCACCAAGCTCACGAACCACGTAGCACCAAGCTCACGAACCACGTACCATCAAGCTCACAAACCATGTAGCACCAAGCTCACGAATTACGTAGCACCAAGCTCACGAACCACGTAGCACCAAGCTCACGAACAACGTAGCACCGAGCTCCCGTAGCACCAAAGCCCAAAGCACCTAGCACCGAGGGGGAGAGAGAGGAGGTGGGGCAGGGGGCTGGAGGGGAGGGGGAAGGGGGTAGAGAGAGAGAGAGAGAGA